ATTTGTCTGTGTCCAGACAGTTAGGGTCCGTTTGTCCAGATAAGTACTGTGTGTATGTAATATGTTGCAATAATACTGAATTGCGTTGTTCGCCATTTTGACCAGATTGGTAAGTGTTCATGCCTCATGTTTTCATTCTTTGAAATTTATAGAGTAATTTCACTAGAAAAGTTTATGAAAATATGATTATAATACAGTTTGTATGTGCATAATGTTGTTTGTGTGCAAATATTATTGTTTGTATGTTCATAATATTGTCTTTTTGTACATAATAGTGTATGTATATACATAATGATTGTAAGTAGGATACCCTATTTTAAATAAGTACATGTGTTAAATAACAGATGTGGGACATAACAAGGGGGGAGTTATTAATGTTAAAACTCCAGAAGTGGGTATAGACTTTGATAGCACAAAAGCGATATTTGAGGTTTACAAAACATATGTTGAAACTTTAGGAGGATTTTCAATAAGAAAAAGAACTTCAACCAAGGACATGAACGGGGAAACGTAGTGTCAATTGCAAGGCATAAAACTGTTTTAAGTCTCAAGCTTCAATGCAGACATCTTGTTTAGCTAGAATTAGAGCGTGTACTACATATGTCGAGTCATGGGAAATTCCAAAAGTGTTTTTAGAACGCTAGATCATTTCGTGGAAATAGGAAGTTGACACCCCAGAGTGAAGAGGCAACTTGAGATTAATGATGTTGCGGGAATACCACTTCATAAGACTTGTAACTCCGTTGATGTTGAAGCGCGGGGGGGGGGGGGGGGGGGGGGGGGGGGGGTTGATGCTCTACCTTTTATTGAAAAGAATTGTAGGAACTACATAGATAAAGTTCGGCAACTTAGGTTAGGAAGTGATGATACAATGGCTATCCAAGTTTTTTTTTTTGCAAAAATGTAAGCACATTGCCCCAATATATTTTTTCTTTACCATTGATTTAGATGATGAGTCACACTTGAGGAATGTATTCTTTGCCAATAATCTATGTAGATATGCGTACAAATGTTTTGGAGATGTCATCACCTTTGATAGAACATATCTCACTAACCGATATAACATGTCATTTGCACCATTTGTGGGAGTGAATCATCATGATCAATCTATGTTATTTGGATGCGACTTAATCTCAAACGCAGATACACAAATTTTCGTGTGGCTCTTTAAAGCGTGACTTGATTGTGTGGAGAGTTGTGTGGAGAGTTGTGCTCTTTAAAGCGTGACTATGCAGAATGTCATTCAAATTGTATTCCCGGATACAAGGCACCTTAGTTTATGAGTTTATGCGTTTTATTTCAATAATAATTTAAGCAAAAAGTCTTACAATAAACTGTTAATATTTCATACTGTGTATATTTTAAACCATTTTATAGATTAGGAAAATGATATAGGATAGGTAATAATTTCAAAAAATATTCGAAAATTTGTTTGCTTTTTCAAAAAACATAATGTTTAACTTAAGCAGACAATTTGTGTCCCTTTTCGTGTAAATGGGAAATCATAGTAAATGATACTTTAAGCGCGACATTGTGTGGAGTGTTTTATACTATAGGATTCTAGAGTACTTCATGGATTTCCCAACTTGTGTGCACAATTCTTAATAGGAATATATGCAATCCCCATATACGTGGAATGATTTGTTAGACGTATATAGAAGCCACTTTTGGATAACATGGAGCTTGTTTTGGATAGCCAAAAAATTAGATTATTTCAACAATTGATCATATCTTATTTGTATAACTTACTTATTGGAATCACAAACTATAATCAGAACCATTTTTTGTTTGAAACTGTCAATTGTAAAAAGATTTGAAAATAATTAATTGTGTTTCAGTCAATAAGAAATCAATTTTAAAGGCAGAAGTATATGATATAGTGAAAGAAAATGTTGTTGGAAAGATAATCACAATTTACAAATTTTCAAATTCAGGAAAACGGTGTTTTCAGTGTGTTCTCAAACACATCTTTTTATTTTATGAAAAACTACTTATAATCTAGATTTTATGTTATCTTAGAAATGGATGGATAGGACGATAGATGAAGTGAAATTGCTTACTGTGTGCAGATGATTCGACTATTTCAACACATATCATTATCTTGAGCATTTAATACTATTATTAATGGGGTTTTTACCTAAATATTACTAATAAATTGATAATGTGATTTGAATCACTAAGTACACATAAATTTGAAAGAAAAATTTTCAAACCGTGCATCGCACTGGTGAGTTTACTAGTTAGTAATAAATGGAAAATTGACAAAAAATGATCTTTTCTTTTTTTAAATTCCAAAATTGTGACTAATATGTCATAAGCTATACCGACAGATACAAAGTGATATCCACAACTCTCTCCCATCGGTTAACGTCGCCCGCCATAGTGACAACTCTGCCCCAACTTCTGGCCACGCCGACAGATACAGTGACGCGCTATACCGACAGATACAAAGTGATATCCACAACTATCTCCTATCGGTTACCGCCGCCGGCCATAGTGACACCTCCGCAGTGAGAACTTTGCCCCAACCTCGGGCCACGGTGACATCACCGCAGTGACATCCCAGCAGCCGGCCACCGCAGTTGCAGTTACATCTCTGTGACACAACTATTCCGACCACCACCAATCACCCCAACCATCAATACATATCCCCCATACACAACCTAATTCCACTGCCCACCCCATCCCCACGCCCAAGCACCGGATTACCCCCATCCTAACACCCCAGCATCGGAAAACCCCATCCCAACACCCCCAACGCCGGAAAACCCACATCCCCTGCCCCTGCCCCCTCTAGCCACGAGAATCCAACAGATCTAGTCGAACACAAGCTCCAGTACCTGACACGACCAAGCTCCGGATGAAGACAGCGGCGTTCACCTTCCCTCTGAATTTCACCTTAGCCCCAACAGCCACCACTTTGTCCCCCATCTCAGGATGAATAGGTACCACAGATCCGAAATCAACCTCATATTTGAAGCTAAAGAACAGAGACGGTGAAGAGAAGCAAAAAAGAAGGAGAAAATGAAGCTCGTGTTGCCGTCGCAGATCGTCGTCGGTGAGGTGAGTAGCGATGAAATCGAAGCAGGCCGGAGAAGGAACTATGTGCGGTGACGATGGAAGACGAAGGGAGAGCGGTGATGTGAGCGACGATGAGCTCCAAATTGATGGCCTCCGGCCTCTTCCATACGTGTGCGGTGGGTGATGTGGAGCAGAGAAGACGATGCGGGGAAGACGAAGACAAACGAACGCATGTGGAGCAGAGAACTGGGCTTTTGGAAATCAAATACTCCCTCCGGTCCCTATTAAAGTTCTCACTTCAATTGTAGGAAACAAAACAGTGCAAAACAATGTCAAACAATGTCAAACAGTGTCCAAACAGTGCCAAACAGTGGACTCCATAGTAAAGTCAAATTTATTTTCTTAATCTGTGTGAAGTCAAACTGGGAACTTTAATAGAGACCGGAGGGAGTAACAAATTTTTTCATATCAAATACTCCCTCCGTCCCATCAGAAGGTTCTCACTTTCCTTTTTTGGACGTCCCGTTAGAAGGTTCTCATTTACATTTTTGGATACAATTAACAATCTTAAGTAACAAATTAATCATTGATTATTAAAAATAATACATTTATAACATCACAATTATCAATACTAACTACATTATAATATATATCTATTATCCGAATAGAACTAAAACAAACAAGTAAATGAATAGCCTAAGGCTACTCATCAATGATGTTTTGCTGCACTTACTACTAAAAAAAGAGATATTACCCGAAATAGAACTAAAACATTTAGAAAATTCCAAAATAGAACTGCCATATTTTTATTCCCAAAATAGGACTAATTGCTGCCATGTTTTGGCAGTACCAGACTTCAAACATATCATTATTTTCTAAACATGATAGTAATTAGTCCTATTTGGGAATAAAAAAATGACAGTCCTATTTTGGAATTTTGAATCTATTTTAGTCCTATTTCGGGAACTTTCCCAAAAAAACAATTACAAATAAAAAAATCCGACTTCACCAGCCATTAGAAAGGGAAAATTGATTTGACCAGCAACCAACAAAAGAAACTCTATCGAGCCGAAATTGTCTGAATCATCGGCTTGACCTGCCATCGAAAATGAGATCCATTTGAGCACTTTCATTTTCACGAAGCAAGGCAGTGGTTCAAGTGGAGGGCGAATACTGAAGTATCAGAACAACAATGTTGAAAAAGCTTTGACAACCATAAACAACATAAACTCACCAGATCGATTACTCCGATGAGAAATCCACAAATCACTAAGAGAAAAACATATCACACGCTCACATGAAGCGGACAAAACTCTCGACCAAAGAAGACACCTGACCAAAAACCTCGAAAGTAGATATTAAACAAGACTGAAGGTATAGAAGAAAACATCACCATCTTCCCAAACTCTTGATGTTTGAAGAAGAGAAGCCTTGAAAATCAGATCTCAGAGGAAGTGGGAGATGGCTCCTAGGGTTTCCCTTAGGGCCGGCCGTCATTTGCTCTCTCATCGATTATTGAGTAGGGATAAGAGCCGGCAGAGCACTTGTGGTCAACTCTATTGAAATTCGTCATATATTTGTCTATGGAAAAATTGAAAATAATAATCCCAACTATTGCCAGTCCGCTAACAATAATCCCAAGTATTGATTATTATTGTATAATCCCAACTATATGGACCGTCCGCCAATAATGGTCCATGACCGCATATTACATGCTCTAACAAGTGATTTTTTAATAGAAATTAAGCGTAAAATTGAAATTCGGGATTATTTATAGGGATTACCTACTATATCTCTTTAGAAACTATAAGAATTTATTTATAATCGGTCACCTCGGACCATTATTGGCGGAAGGACACTAAAGTTGGGATTATTCTGAAATAATAGATAGTTGGGATTATTATGAGCGGACCGCCAATAGTTGGGATTATTACAATCAATTTTTCCTTTGTCTATTAAAACACTATGAGTAATATTTAGGCCATTGTTTCATTATTAATTCAAAAACTAAATAAAGTGACATCTAAGAAATGATAAGTTTGTTTTCTTCAATTCATTCAAATAAACTAGTGTTTGATGAGCTGGCTCAATTAAATTAGTTGATATTTAGGAGATTTCCAACTAAATAGGCCGATGAACGAAACTGTGGTAACCGAAGGAGCACTTATGAAGAGCGTCTTCCTCTATGATTCCATCCCAGTCCAGCATTTCCCATATTTCCATTTGTTTGCAATGGTTCAATCAACCCCTTGTTGCTGCTACCAAGTGCCTCTCCCTGCAAAAACATATCACATGCTTATGCCTATCAGTTAACAAATAGAAACAGGAAGAATAAGGGCAATCATGCAATAGGTATTTGAGAGGCAAGGGGAGAGATGTGAAAATAGCACCCCACCACCCCCCATCCTAACTGACTAGTGGCGAAGGCAGGTGCCAAGTTCTTATTATAAACCTTGGTCAGCGCACACTCTTCACTGTAAGCAATCATTTGTCACGCTTGTAGTGGTGTTAGGTTACCAGTGGACGATGTAACCCGGCCCACTACAGGTGGGTGAACAGGAGAATGGGGAAAATTGCTCTCAAAGTTTACCTCTTTCCAGCCCATGCTTTCGAGAACTCTTCTGGCATAACTGCCAGTTCCAAATGATGCATTCAAGGATTCAGCCATTGCTTCCTCTGGAGAAACTGATGTGGAAGTGTTCGGACCTGAATCAAATGAGCTCTTTTGCCCCGGACCTACACCGATCCCATTATGTAATGCCCGTCTCTCTGCAGCTCTATCTCTATACACATGACCTCTGCTCTAGAATTACCAAATGGCAGAAGAAAAAAGATACTATGAGTGAGACTCAAAACATTCAATGTTTAAGTTAAGTGCACAAACTCCACTATATATGGACAACAGACCTTATCAAACGCACTGATCTGCTCAGACGACAAACGAATATCCTTCTGACCAACAACACCAGCAGGAGCTTTTGAGTCGCATCCCTGACTAGATGTAGTATCTGCTCTGGATAGCCTGTCCATTAAAATTTGAGGAAAGCACCAGTCTTTTGTTGGGTTTGAGGAATCATAGGTAGATAAAGAAGCCAAGTATTGTGAGCTGGGATTCCGCAGCCTATAAATATTGCCTGTATAAGGAGGAGGCTTCAGCAGCTACACCTTTTAAGTTGATAGAATCAAAGAGTAAAATCTAAGAGCTAGAGGCAAATAATTCAGGGTCATCATTGTATCATTTGGATCCAGTTATATTACCACTTACCAGCAAGCATATATATAGAAAATGGCTGTTTTTATCATAAAATATTTCCACTTTTGATTCCATTTAGGTCAGTTTTCACCTCGGTCACTAATTTTCACTTTTGGTGCATGTCTATAGATTCCTTGCCGGTATTTGTTTTTTCAGTTAAAACAACCTAATAGTCCTGGGACCAAGGTGAACATCCCTCTCTTCTAAAAATCCCTGCCTAGACCCGCATAAGCGCTAACAAAATCTGACTATTGCTCTAAAGCAGACTAAATTTGTACAAAACTTTGGAAAATGAAACCAAGGAAATGGCAAACCTGATTTGACTCGTACCAGATCAAGTTGAACTTCACATATAGGAGCAGTTCTGAGAAGCCCACCGCTGGAAGGCATTGATGGATGCAACTTAGTGGAGCGTTTTGCTAACCGTCCAACAAGTACCGCCACCTTGTGTTTCTTTTCTTTCCTTCTCCTTTTTACCAGCGACCAATCCCACAAATCGATCACCTGTATATCGGATAATAATGAATCTTCATCAGCTCGAGTAACTTGACCATACTGAGCTTGCCAGTTTTCTTCCTCTAAAGAAATGCCTGTTTTGCGGATGTGGATTTCGATGTGCATTTAAGGCGTTAGAAATTTGTCTGCTTAAGCACCAGAACTAAATTACTAGGAAAAGTCAAAGGATCGAATTGATAGCTAGCTCAACAAATGCACTCTCACATATATACTACATGGTAGATCAATGGAGATCTACACTTATGAGTTATGACAACACAAATTTTGTATCAAAATAACGAGTAATATTGAGCAAACAAAAAGGGAGTTGATGGCCACAAAGTGATGCATGCTACAATATAATATTGTGGAAAGATAAAAAGAGCAATCAAGTAGAATAATGAAGAGTCATAGCTGATTGATTTGCTTGGTTAAGTTTACTATGATTTGATTTTAATACCTTCATTATTTCATCTATTTTAGGAAGTGATTTTTTAGGATTTCCCTTTCCTTGTTTTCTGCATTCATATGTGCATGTAATCCCTCTTATAAAAGGGAGCTTTGCTATTCTAATAAAATATCGAAGAAAAATTAAGAAGGAATTAAGGAGAAGGAAAACTCCCTAAGTTTCCATAGCACCTATCTATTTATCATTTATATTTCTTTCCCAAGACGCAAAGAATCCCGGCACATAACATTTTGGTTCCGTTGACGCAAAGAAAAATCACTTCCTAAAATAGATGAAATTATGAAGGTATTAAAATCAAATCATAATAAACTTAATCAAGCAAATCAATCACCTATTACTCCTCATCAAGCAAATCAATCACCTACTACTCCTCATTATTCTACTTGATTGCTCTTTTTATCTTTCCATAATACTCCCTCCGGTCCTAAATAAACTTCACACAAATTAAGGAAATAAATTTGACTTTACTGTAGAGTACACTGTTGTGACACTGTTTGGCACTGGTTGACACTATTTGGCACTGTTTTGCACTGTTTTGATGTAGATAATTTGCCAAATAAGGAAGGGAGAAGAAGTATGAAGTTTATTTTGGACCTACCCAAAATGGAAAGTGTGAAGTTTATTTAGGACCGGAGGGAGTATTATATTGTAACACCCCTCAAGCTTGAAAACTTGAACTGGATTTGGAATGACTGCACAAATAAAAAGTGCCAGTGATCCTTGTATTCTTGAAGAAGATTGAAAACCACTCTTAGCGGTGGACTATGGCCAAGGTGATCATCGTCCAGTAAAAATTCCATTGGAATACAATGGCAAACTGGGATAGGCTTAGTGGACCAGAATGGACCGGGGAAGTCCAAGAAATTTGTTTTGGAAAGTTTATCGGGTAGGGCAGTTTGCAATATGGGTGTTGCAGACAGCGTTGACTCTAGAAGATGCTGTGTTGGAAGCAACGCTGGCGGCTGTTGAGGCGGAATTTATGTAGAAGATGTGCTTAGTGATGGGGTGCTTCATCTCCTCCCAAGGATTCCACTGATTCAGAATGGTTGGCAATATGCTTAGAAAGTTTCTGAAGCGACTCCTTTAATGGTGACGGTGCTTGTATCACCTTTTGCACTGTATTTTGTGGTTTGCAAAGATGCCCTTCGCTTATCAGTTTGTGTAACTCCTTTTGTATCTCTGAGAGGAGTGTGTACTGACCAGCAGGAAGTGTGAAATTTCTCATGACGCCAGCAACAGAACCAAAATGTTATGTGCCGGGATTCTTTGCGTCAAGGGAAAGAAATATAAATGATAAATAGATAGGGTCTATGGAAATTTAGGGAGTTTTCCTTCTTAGTTTATTTTTCTTCGATATTTTATTAGAATAGCAAAGCTCCCTTTTATAAGAGGGATTACATGCATATATGAATGCAGAAAACAAGGAAAGGGAAATCCTAAAAAATCACTTCCTAAAGTAGATGAAATAATGAAGGTATTATAATCAAATCATAATAAACTTAATCAAGCAAATCAATCAGCTATTACTCCTCATTATTCTACTTGATTGCTCTTTTTTATCTTTCCACAATATTATATTGTAGCATGCATCACAAAGTGAGAAGTCGAACATAATTAGAAGATTTTAAATTAGCTAGAGAGATCTAATTCACAAACCTTCATCCAATGCATTTTCATTTGAACATGAAGACACTAGATGGTCATCTGGAACCCATTCACCTTCCTCAAGTTCATACATATCATCACTCCCTGCATCTTGACAAAATTCAATAAGCTTCGGTAGTCCAGTTCATAAACAATAGTTCTCCAATATAGTGTAGTTGTGTTATACAAACCAGCTGCTGATACATTCAAACCATCTAATAAGCCATTATTTTCCTCAGGCACTGTTGTGTCAGATATAGCATGTGTCGATTGATTTGGATAATTGGAAAGATACAGATCAATCAGAGTGTCTTCAAGCCTAATATTAGGATGCATGCTTAGTAAGATTATAAAACAAACTAGTCATACCCAAATTTAAGGCATTAAGTTAAGAATGGCGTTTAAGTACATACCACTCAGATGGTGGTGGATTTTCTGGCAACTCATTTTCAATACGACCTTTATGGTCTGCTTATACAAAAAAAAACAAGAAAAAAAAACTAATAGCATTAAATTAACACCAATGTATTAAGAATCAAGAATGGCTTAACAGTTAGTACGTAAAAGTTAATGGGCAACGATTTTATGATGGGATTAGATCATGAGATAAGCATTAGTTTCAAGGAAATAACTTCAGAATCAAGAGTACAACATAAGAAACAAATAAAACTAGAGCATGGATAGCATGAAGGACTGAATCTTCATTCACTAAATGATTAAATGACAATGCAAAAGGTTATCAACTTAATGATTAAATTATTGAACACAAATTACGCTATGAAAAGTTTAATAATAAAATTATGAAGACTACTTTACTTGTACCCCATGAAATTTAAATTTAATTAACCAACACTTATAGTCACTTGCAAATCTATTTGGTGTTAATATAAACAAACACTATATCAAGGCCTAGTTGCTAAAAGCGAACAATGCAACTTACTCACCCTCAGAATTTTCAACAGAATTAGTTCCTGCTGTTTCATCATAGAATTCAACCAAAGATGAATACTCTTCATTGGGATGATGAAGACATGTATACTGTTCATTTTGGAAAGCAACATTAGGATCAGTAGAATCAGAAGTACCCCTTTGAGACACATCAACCTGGCCACACACCAAAATAATATTAAGAATTAATTAAAAGAAAATGAATAACAATAAACTGAGACTGACTTCAGAGAAATAACAGGGAGAGAAGATTACAAGGTATAATTGAAAATACTACCTGATCAGAATGCATCAAAATATAGTTCCCGTTTTCAAATTTGTAATAATGGCCGTCTCTACTGCTGTAATACCATTCCGCTTGAGGGTCATAATAAAACCCAGTGCTGCGTCAATGGAGAACCAAAATCCAATATCAAATGCTTGACACATTGACAATAAAAACTTCTAATGCCAGCAAAGCTTCTTTTGCGGGGATCGAGCAGAGTAAAGGGGTTGAGGGGAAAATTGTTCTTCCAGAAAAGGCGCGAGCCGTCATAAATTAACAGGTTCAAACCGTTTGACATTGTGTGATCATGCAATATACGAATGTTTGTTTGAAATAAAAAAAGAATGTGGATGAAGTAAATTGAAATTGGAGAGCCCTAATTTGAAAAGGAATTTTAACACAAAAAGAAATCTCGAACTCTGCAGATTCATAAATAGCGACCGACTTGGAGTGGTAGTAGAGCTGGGTATTTACATCCCACACAAAGCCGTCCTCGGTCTGTGGTGGTTCTTGCTCCGGCGACACCAAATCGCTGGTTAACGCCATGACTCGCTTGATTTATGGTGTTGTCTTTATCTTTACTATGTTAGTTGGTTCCCCGCATCGTAAAGTGGAATGCACAAGAAAACAGATTACGGAAAGATTGTGATGCCTCTTCTGTTTCAGACTTCTATAGACTCTACCCGCCAGAGCGAGGCAGTACTGGGTACGGTTCTAGACGTACATGCGGTCTTTTGGACGGTCCCATAATCTTGTGAAAAATTTTGACAAATATGTTTAAGATGAAAATTAGAGGATAAAAAACTGGAAAATCAAAACACAAAAATTGAGAATAGAAAAGAAAGTTGAAAATGTAGATTAACGAAACAGCGATCTTTGTCCGGTCCGATCGACGACCCAATTGTCTCTAATCTAGTCTTATTCCCCTTTTTTAAATCATTTTTTCAAAGAGAAGAGTTTCAAAAGAATTATTGGATTGTCGGCCAATAGGGAAAAAGTAAGAGAGATATTCCAACTAGCATTTGGGATAGATCTGGATAAACCGATTTTGGTTCTAGCTTTCCTATAACCGACACCGGGTACCCTATTTGAGTTGTACCAAGTCCGCTTCCGAACAGGGGCCATACTTTCGATCTTTTAGCCGGTTTGATATGTTTTGGAATGATTTTGATAGAAAAACATGTACTGAAATTAATATTGGTTCAAGATGACAATAATTACATATATCTTGCCGACTTCATAAATTGAGAATGATGGTAAGCAATACCATTATTGAAGTTACTCCATGTATTTCATATTTGAATTCGAATGAGTCTATGATATATGTACCGATATATTAAATGCATACATTTGTCTAAAAGTATACGTAGTATGAAATACGGAGTACCATATTACTTAATATTAAAAAATATTTGTTTTAATTTTAAAATTTGAATAAAATAGTAAATAAAATGAGATACATATATATTCTAGAAATTAATCTATACACACACATATAGTTAAAGTCAATCATTACAAACATTTTTCTTTTACAAAGTAAAAACAATCCTAAAACTGTCATTTTTAAAAAAACAATCCTAAAATTATCATATTTTGTACATGTAAATATATATTTGCCTTGAATTTTGGAATTGAATAAAAGAAATTACTTGATACGTAGTACCGAGTACAATATATGGAGTAGAATATATCACAGAAATGATCAAATTCCGAAGCTTAAGACTTTTACATGAAGCTGTTTGATAACACTGTTTTTCAGCTTATCAGATTTATCAGCTAACTTTTTTATCAAACACGTAACTTTTGTTTTCACGCGTTGAATTGTGTAGTAATAAGAAAAGGTAAGGTTAGAGTTACTTTTAAGTAAAATAAGTAAATTTGAAATTACTTTTATGAGTGAATTGAATGAAGTTATTATATACAAATCATTTTAACTACTCCCTCCATCTCTGAAAGGATTGTCAAGTTTGACTGGCACGTATAATAATAAAGTAAAAACTGTGTGGTAGAGATTTGTGCAGAGGAGAAAGAAATCACATGAACCACAAATTGATTGATTAAAAGAGAAAGTGGCAAAATTTTTGGGACAACCAAAAAAGAAAAGTTGGCAAAGTTATAAGAGACGGATGGAGTATTTTCTTATTTTTTCATTATTTTACTAATAAGGTATTACTATAAATATAATTTTTCATAGTTAAGTAGAATCAATCAATTTAGTCACTTCAACCATAACTTTATAACTTTCAGCGGAATCACCTGATTTAACAAATTTCTGTGTTATCAAATGAGTTCTAAAAAGATGTTGATTTTATTCAAAACAAAACATATTATATTGGACTTTGAACTTTGCATTTATTAATATTCAATTCCCCATACATACTCATCCGCCATAATACATATCAAATACATAATATTATATTTCAATTTACATCCTCCCAACGTACCGTTCGGTCGGGGTTGGGAGTCCTCGGGGATGGAGTGTCATCCTTTTTTTTATCAAATACTACGAGTCTATTTGATGACTATGTTTTTCGACTTATCAGGCGTATTAGCCAACTATTTCACTAAACACATAATTTTTTATTTCTCGCGCCGAATTGTGTAATAATAAGAAAAATTAAGGTTAGGGTTACTTTTCTGTCTATACTGACTGAAATTAATGTAGAAAAACATTTTAGCTAATTTTTCCTTTATTTATCAATAAAATATATCTTAAATATAATATTTTTTATAAATCAACAGAATCAACCAATCCAATCCTTTCAGGCAGAACTTCATAAATTTTAGCAAAATCAGCCAATACATTTGATTTGGGTACTACCAAACGAGCTGTAGTGTGTACGTACTAGCAAATATTTATTGCATTTAATACATCATTTCTATTTTCATGCATTTATCAATTATAACCTTTATTATATACTCCCTCCGTCCCTTAAACTTTGTCAACTTTCCTTTTTAAGATGTCCCACTAACTTTGGCACTTTCCCTTTTAAGTAAAGAATTTGTGGTTCCAGTTAATTCTCTCTCCTTTGCACAAACCTCAACCACACAATTTTTACTTTATTAATTCCCGTGCCGGTCAAACTTGACAGAGTTTTAAGGGACGGAGGTAGTAATATCTAATATTCTATATTCACACATTTACACATTGTATTTAATGAAAATTTGATACGTAGTATTAAAGTTAATATTTTGTATAATATAATAAAGAATATGATATCAATATACCGAACTTTATTCCGTGCATCGCACGGGTGGAAAAGGTAATACGGATCGACCAGGATAGGCCGATTTTGACCCCAACTTTCCTATACCCGACACCGGGTACACTATTTGAGTTGTACCAGGTCCGATTCGGATAGGGGCCAAATTTTCGGTCTTCCAGCCGGTCCTAGAACCGGGTGAAAAAATTTGACAAACAAATTTTCGGATTCAAGAATAAAAAACTAGACAATGAAATCAGAAAGTTGGAGAACAAAAAACCGGGGAAAAACCAAAAAATTGAAGAACAAAAAGAAGATTAAAAAATTTCTCTTTTAGTCTCAATTTACACGCCCATGGCGGTGGTTCAGCAAAGGGACGATCCAGCAGTATTGTAGTTTCTTCCTCGCCTAGCCTCTTATTCATCATGTTCTCTACCAAGCATCCTTTGTCGCAGTGTCGCCACCTAACACGGATGACCTCGAATCCATATGTGTTCCAGCCTTTAGCCTCATGCTTCGTTCATGACCTTTGGCCGTCGGAGACCAAGCGCGCTGTCTTCCGTCCCTGCACAACCTTCGGTCGCCGGAGACCAAGCTTCATCTTTCCTCCGCTTAAATTTGGTAAAGCAAATGAAGAAAAATAGCCGCACAATTGATGACAGAAGATTAAACGAGTTGGTTGCGACCAAGACCACCAGCGGGATAGCCACAAACCCCAGCCACGAAAGGACCTCCTTGCCCGACCGACGACCGCCTACACCGTCTGCCTTTCATCAAGGACGAAGGTGAAGAACCAACCCCAAGTACGACCGCACTTCATGAGGGACAAATGAGGAGAAATAAAACCCTAAAGAGGGAGAGCCAACTTTTACTAGTTGTTTAGGACTTGAATAAAGCTTTATCTATCCTAGATTTTTTTTTTGTGGATTCTAACAATGTTTACAAACAAGGATGGAAACAGGCCAGGTCAGGCTTTTGCCTAAAACAGGCCCGTCTTGTTTTAGAATGTATATGCTTGAGTTTGGCTTGTTGCCTTTTAAAGGCTTGTTTTTTTGCCCGGGCTGTTTAAAAGCCCGGCCTAGCCTGAAGCCCGTTTACTAGGTCTGTTTAGAAAAAAATCAAAAGTTAATAAAAATAAAAATAAGAACAAATTTCACTTTTGGTCCCATGACTATTATATCACTTCCACATTTAGTCCCTTACTTTCAGATTGTCCACATTTAGTCTGTGACCATTATCCCCTCACCACCCTTCGTCCTTTTGGCCAAAATTCCGGCAAATTTAGTCCACTTATTAGCCTCAGAATCAGTCTTTGGCCTTGTTTGGTAAATGGTTGTTAGCTGTTGCTGGTAGCTGGTTGTGTCAGCTGTTGCGAAACAGCTGGTTGTGTTAGCTGTTTTGACCGACTGGTTGTGTTGGCTGATTATAAATAACTGTTTGGTAAAATTGGCTCTTTCGAAATGGCTGATAGAGTGTAAATTGAACCCGCCAAATGAAGAAGCTGCTCCCCTTAGCTTCTTCCACAATCCATTTTTTCAGCTTTTCAAACTCAACAAGCTAATTTTAAAAGTCATTTACCAAACATTATTATTAGCTTCTTTGACTAATCAAACAGTTGAAATGGGTCAAACAAGCTAAAAGCTGGCTGATAAGCCATTTGCCAAACATACCCTTTGCATTAAATTTTATATAAGTTTGGGTTTTTCATATCAGTCTTTTGCATTACATTTGGTTTTTCATACCTAAAATCTGCATTAAATTTGCCGGAATTTTGGTCGGAAGGACGAGGAGTGGTGAAGGGATAATAGTCACGGACTAAATGTGGACAATCTGAAAGTAAGGGACTAAATGTGGAAGTGGTATAATAGTCACATGTCAAAAGTGAAATTTGTTCTAAAAATAAAGTGATAAATACTATTAACTCGGTATAAAATTTATCATCCCAAATATTCACTGAAAAATATGTTAGTTTTGGTTTGAATGTCTAGTAACACGTTAGTTATTTAGCTTAAAAATTTTATGTACTTCAAATATTGAAAAACTTCGAATTTCAATAATCCTATTAACCTATTAACACATTAAATATATTTAAAATAGCATTCTAATTTATAATAATATAATACATGCTCCATAAAAACACTTCTATGCCTAATTTGTTATAGTTAAGTATACTAATATAAATATTTATGTAAACATAAATAGTACAAAATAAATACAAATAAATATATTTACATACACACACATTCATATAATCAGGCCGAACTGTTAAGCTAAAAGGTTTTAGAGTTGGGTCAAGGCTATGTTCGTTAGACCATTTCAGCTAATAATAGGCTGAAATGGTATACATTCAGTCAATAATTTTAAAATTGGAACTGTTGGGAAGTAAATCTTATGTAGACTTGAACTGAAAAAAATTAACTGAAATGAAACGTTTAGAGGAAAAGCGTTCGACTTAAGCCAACCCGTTTATTCCTATTTTAGCCTCACCTTTTTATTCCTATTTTCCTCTTTGTGATGTTGTTTATGACCATCGATATGGGAAGTGACAGAAAAATGATACAGTACGTCACGGAAGAAAAGGGTGTGTCTCAAGTGAGCTTTGCCGACGGCGACTGCCAATTCAAGGATTCTGCTGCCCAAAAAGCATTAGTATCATGCTTTTTTATTAATTAATCTGGTCTTATTAAGTATGCATTATTTTTATTTATTAAAAAAGTGAACACTCAACATACAATCGCTAACAAATTCCAGAAATTAAATTTCTTGAATAAATAAATAAATTAAATAATTATATATATATATATATATATATATTCAGTCAAATAAATAAATAAATTAAATATATATATATATATATATATATATATATATATATATTCAGTCAAATAAATAAATAAATTAAATAATTATATATATATATAATCATATACTTCATCATATCTATAGCATTATTAGAAAAAAAAAGCATTATTAGAAAACATTTATCTTTTAATAGAAACTTTGCCCTTTAATGTAATTTAACGCTTTTTTGGAACTCATTCAGCTCTTGTATCCAAACAGGTCTACTTCATTCAGTTTACGTTTCAGATCCAACAATTAAAAATTTAGCTTCAGATAATAGCTTTTAATTCAGAAAAGAGTCCTTGATTCAAACATTAGCTTTTAATTCCAGCTAGTTCTGCCAAACATAGCCTAAGTCTGACTTGTTTAGACAAACGGGCTTTTCAAAAATCTCAAACCCTGCTTGGTTATTAAACAGGCCAGGTCAAACCTTAAACATGTAAAAGTTCAATTATTAAACAACCCCTCATTGACCGTCTGGCCTATTCCCATCCCTATTTACAAACATCTAGAAGTTCAATTTAGAGCTGATCCAGCGGGCGGACCTAGGCCCAAAAAAATGAAAAATTAGGCCCAGTTTAATTGTCTGAGACCTGTGTGAGTAGGCCATCAGCCAAGGAAGAACCGCAAAACCGCGAATGCCCCTTCGCCAAGGAAGAAGGAACCCACTGCTAAACTGCGTCTGCTCACTCTGCCTCACCGTTTCAGCTGTTCAGGCGTTCACTCCGTTCCGCCTTCACTCTTCTTCTCTTCAGGTAATCCTCGTGACCTCGTCTCCTCCGGCCTCCTCTGGATTGCTGAATTGCTAATTGATATCTGCCTATCCTAATTTTATATTCAATCTTATTTAAGATTTGTACTATACAATTCTAAAAATAACTCTATAACATGATTTCTTGATATATATCATATTTTTTGTCTTTGAAATAAGAAAACCGTGCATTAATAATGATTTATTAATTATTAATATGATTATTTGATTAGTTATAAATCATACATGAATAGTTGATAAGTAATTAGTTGATTTGTGTAGTTCTTAATTTTTGTTGTTATCTATTGAGTTTGGTCATATAATTTATTGATTTTGTTAGGTAATTTTTTGAGTTATAATTAAATTTATATTTTTAATTTTTAATTAATTTCAAGGATTTAGTAAAAATGGTTGAATCTAGATGGGAGAATCAGCTGCTGATCAATTTTTTAGATGAGCATAAAATTTATTGTTTAGATTATAACGCAATAATTTTTTCTCAACTTCCACTACATTTTGTTGGAAACACACAATGGACTAAAAATAAAAGAAAACTATTAACACGTGACATATATTTCTGCCACTTTTTACTGCACATCCTACCGTTGCTATTCTTACTGTTTCTTCTGTCAGTTCTGGCCGGAAAACTGGCAAATGAAGCTGCGTTATTATGTATAGATAGATTTGATGATACCTGACCTGAAATTCCAGCATTGTAGTGATTGTTCGGATTGATTATGTCATGGTTTGGATTTCTACATAACCTGTCATACTTAGTGCAGTTTGTTAATGGGACAGACGTTGAGAATCTTAATTGGGATGCAGGTTATTGGAAGTTTGAATGAATCAAGTACCGATGAATAATCCCGAAAAAATTGGTGATAGTGTTGCTTCAAAATCTCTAAATTCAGCTTCATCACCGTTCAAAAGGCTGGGTAGAAAGTCACCTTTCACTAGATATGGACTTCCTATGATCTCACTCATGGTGCTTGGATCTTTTGGTCTTGGCCACCTTTTGCAAGGCAGGTTAGTTCAAGTGTTAAACCATAACAAATGTTTGATCATGCTATATGTGCTAGATAATGACCGATGGACGCATACATCCCTTTAAACAGTGGGTTTCTCCTTTTTTATGATAGAAATGATAGTTTATTGATAGGAGTAGAAAAGAGTACAAGGTAGGGGGACATGTTGCCAAAACCTACCTAATAAACAAAGGGGGAAGATTACATGACATAAGGTAAGGCTATACCATCAAGCTTAAGAATGTTAAGGAATCTTGAAGATTTGACATCAACACCAAAGGCATCAGTTTGGCAGCACACTTGGCCTTCTCAGGGATATGACTTAAGATGATGTGGTTTATGAACTCTTAGGGTTTGTTTGTTAGGGGTGAATGGCACGAGAACGAGAATGCAGGTAGAGAGAAAAGATTAGAATTGGCCAGTTTCCATTTTTTGTTTTAGGAGAAAGATTGAACAGGTAAAATAACATTTGGGTCACATGTTTTTTAAAATCGTCCTTATCACGGGAAGAGAAAGAGGTGAAAGAGCCACTATTTTAAAAGTTAAAGATATGCTTTTTGTCTTGAGGTTAAGCTTCTAGAAATTCTCCTATACTTGACATTGCAATCTCGTCTTAGTCTTGAATTAGCAACTGGATTTGCACAGTAAACATATGCTTGAGGGCAATAGACACATAATTGTATAAAATTAATAAATGGGATTTATCTATCTTTCTTGCCACGTTTTTTTTTTTGGTATTTTTTTCTCCTCTTATTTTTATCTTTTTATTTTTCTTATCTTTCTTTTCTTTTTAACTCTGATTTCATGGATCGATTCATGTTAGCCGACCACAAAATCTTTTGGGATTAAGGCTTGGATGTTGTTGTTGGTGTTGTTGTGGTAATTTTTTCTCCCACGATGTCATACACAATGTCTTCATCAAGATATTGTGGTGAACAAATTACTCCGTATTAAAAACACAATGACCATTGGAAGAAAGAGAGAATGTTTATTAATTTTTATGTATGTATCTCTTTCATAACACGCATGTGCACTGTTGACATTTTTACATATGAGATGCTCTAATAATGTTCTTTTTCACATTATCACTGGATAATATATATGGATTGCATGCATTTTATTTATAAATGGCAAAAGCCTTTTTCCCGAGGGTAGTTGCCTCATTTTAGTCACTGATGTATGTCTAACTCAATTTACATATTTTTTTAAAAAAGTTGCTCTTTGTTTCAAAAACAAATATTCTCATCTCATTAATCAATCAATCATTTACCATGGCCAGCCCACACCAGCCCCGCCGCAAATATAGAGCCGCATCTACGTTGATTTTAACACACCCCCTTGGCGGTCGCTGCCATTTTTCTCTTGTTTTTAAGTTCCTGCAGCCTCCTCTCTTCCCGCCCGGTAGCTCTTCCTCTCTTCCCGCCCGGTAGCTGGGCATCACGCCAACCCTTCAACAAAGCTATCTTATAATTCAAAATAACCTGAAGTCCAGCTTATGTCATCGCCACACTGCTTCATTTCTACTTTTCCACAAGCTCCACAGCATGACATTAAAGTTGCTGCATCTATCTTCTCCCCGGTGAGAGAGAATTCTGTTGATTTAGGAAGCTCATGCCAGGGTCTTCCAGACCTTCTTGGGTAGCATTGCCACATTAAATTCCCGTAATCTTCGAAAACCCAACCCACCTTGCTTCTTTGGTGAACACAAACCCTGCCACTTCAGTGAATACCCTTCTTCATCATATCTGCCTCTCTCCACCAATTGACATTCATAAGTTTCTCATTATCATCACACATCTCAATGGGAAGAAGAAAAACGTTAATGGCATATGTAGGCATAGATTGAATGACAGATTTAAGTAATACGGTAATACCTCTCTCCTTGCTCAAGACAAGAAGCGATGATTCCAAGAAAAAGTTGCTCTTTTGTTTGTTGTATGCATTTCATCTTTATTTATTTCTATAAAGATTTATTTATTTATCACTATGAATGTGTTGTGTAGTTCAGCAAGGATATTGCTAAAGTGAAGGATGATCGAGAGTGGGAAATCATTGAGACAAAAAAAGCACTTTCTAGAGAAGGGCCTGTGAATGCATATAACCCCAAAAAGATCAACTTGGAGGATGAATTGAAGGTATGAAAAATTATACCGCGTACACATGATCTGCTGACTTCTTTTTGGTAAAAAAAAAAAGTTGGTTGTAGCCCTAATTTCCATCCATATGTTCAGGCTCTGAAAGAAAAAGTTGATTTAAACAATTACGAATACAAGAGAATTCCCAAGCCTGATAAGAGCAAATGAAAGGCTCTAGTTAAGAGAATCCGTAGCATGAAAGCGGCAGCAATGAATGTAGGGTATCTTGTTTTCCTAGTTCAGGCTCTATTTGGTAGCCTTATGTTGCTTACTGAGTTGAAAAAGCGGCTTTTGACTTATTTCGCTGAAATGCACGTCACCAAGGATATACTTTTTCTTTCCGAAAGTTCAGCAGATGCCACCATTCCAACGAAGTACCTCTTTATGCGAGGTTTGAAGTCTTTCGAACGCCCTTGTATTTCTGTTGCTAAATCTGCTGATTCTGAAGTACAATGATGTACATACACACATTGAACATTGTTTGAGCCACTGAATTACAATTTTTGTAAGGAACCCACATTGTTATACCCCATCTTCTGAAAATCTGTGCCTAGACTCGCTAACAAAACCTGACTAAATAGCTCTAAAGCCGGCTAATGTGCACAAAACGTTTGGAAAATGAAACCAGGGAAATGGCAAACCTGATTTTAACTCGTACCAGATCAGGATGAACTTCACACATAGGAACAGTTTGAGAAGCCCACCTCTAGAGTCTAGAACCACATGTTATTACTCATAATTAAATCAAAGAATATTATACTGATCATGACAGAACGCTAACGTAGAACTTTAGAAGATTCAATTTATCCTTGATCAAACGGATGGTTTAATGTATAAAAAGAGCAAGTAGCAGAGATCTCAAGGAACCATTGAACAACCCACTGCCAAACGGATGCCTTGCAGAAAGAAGTTCTGTTAGAAGAGCCTCTTGATCAACCAATTCACTCGATGAGAGATTGTTAATGAGCATGTTAGTGAGCATGTTAATGAGAGATTGTTAATGAGCTTTTTCATCCAAAAAAAGAGAGATTGTTAATGAGCATGTTAGTTCATGTGGAATTCCTTTTTATTAATTATGGTAATTCCTTTATATTAATTCAATGTACTTATTTAATACATATCTTTCCATCATTTGAAATGGAGCAAAGATTTCTTATTTTTTGGTTTGGGAATATGATAGCATAAATCAAAATGGCTCACTAAACTGTTTGCGCTTCTTTGTTATGAAGCAATAGTCAGTTCATCTAATTTTCGACGCGATTTTCACTATGAGTTATCCGGAAAGATTGCGTACATCCGATCCCCTTACCCGGCTAGAGCTAGGAGACTTTGTGGCATTGGGGTAATGATAATGATGATGATGAAATGATTTAATACATATGCTTAAATATATTAACCTTATCACTACAACAACATTATCCTAGTGCCTCAAACAATCATCCCTCTGTCCGGTCATGGCGGATTAACCTTATCACTCTACATTCTTAAATGATTGGTCACCTTTGGTTTCTCTAAATGAATCCATTCTTGCTACAAACAACCATTGCTCTGTCCACACATTGCGGATTAGACCCTACCGCAAATACTAGCAGTATTAACTACGTAATTAATATAAGTACTTCCTATTTGGATTTAGTCACTAATAAAAATACGAAGTACGATACATTACTAGAAACCATTATTACCATCATCATTTACTACTTGAGTACTCTCTTAATTACTATCTCCGTTCCCATTTTAACTTCCAAATGGGTTTGACACAAAGTTTAAGATAGTGGATATTGTGTGGTGGAGAGTTGTGCAGAGGAGAGAGAAATGTGTAAGAAATGTTGTGAACCACAATTTTTTTTACCAAAAAGAGAAAGTGAAAGTTTTAATTGGAACGGACGAAAAAAGAAAGTTGGAAGTTTATTTAGGAACGGAGGGAGTATTATTTTCCATTCAGTAAAGATCGTTCCGTTTTTCTTTTTCCACCTGTTTCTTTAAGATTGCTTCATATCAAATTTTATAATATTTATATAATTCTAAATTGTTTTGATTTTATTATTACTTTATAAATTTATAAATTTAATATCAATCACGTAAAATCATTTTTGTAATAACCGCACCACCGATATGAGTAATACTTCATTCGTCCCATTAGAAGGCTCCAATTACGGTTTACGATGTTTGATTGACGATAAATCAACTTAATCTCTGCTCACACTCTGATTATTTTTAGTAAATAAAATTTACATATTCAGAAACTACATTAAAATCGCTATAAAGTTTGATAAAAAAATGTAAATTTGATAAAAAATTGATATATAAAGCAAACAGATTAAGAATGATTTAAGTTGATCATGTGAATAGTGAACGGAAAGCTTTGAATGAGCTTGAATAGTGGTTTTCTCAATCTCTCTTAAAGTAAATTGCGTTGTCAACTCGAAAGAAATACGTAGTATGGATAAAAAGAATCATTTATTTATTTAATGTTAAATAGGACGTTTTTTGGATTAAAAAAACATTCATTTATTTAATTTTATCAATTTTTTAGAAAAAAAAGATGATTTATAATATTACTTACGTGTTTTGGTTACTAGTAATATGGATGGATGAGTGCTGTATTGAGAATAAACATTACTCTTTCTGTCTCGAAACAACATTTTTTTGTTGTTAAAGTTAAATCATCTCTATCAATAATTAATTCAATTTTTAATAATTAAAGTTTACATATTCAGAAATTAAATTCAAATCTCTTTATTAAAGTTGTAAACTTCAAATCATAATTAAGTGAATAAATTGAAAATGTTCAATTTTTCTAGGTCAATATGGGAGGAAGGTAGTACAGTACTGTAGTAATTTTCACCGTTATTATTGGGGAAGTACGTACGAGGGCGAGGAGTTGTATGAAGAAGCAAAGGGTGGGTTTGAGATATACTACTAAGTAGAAGTACTTGGTACAAGATACAACTCCAATGCGAAAAAGAAGAAATGGAATTGAAATACAAAGATTATATATATATGTTCCAAACACAGCCGTACGTTTGATGATTAAAGAGAATCTTGCTAGGAAAAATAGATGCCCATGAATAAAACGTTTGTTTAGTCATATATCGATCGATCTTAAATCTCCAAACGGAACTAAGGGTGGCCGGAGTGAAGCTAAGGAGCGTCGGCAAAGACTCTGACTTTGACGACAGATCCGTCTCTGAGATTGTAAGCAGAGAGGGGCTGGTCGCTCTTCATTTCTGTAGAGTCGGTGTGGAGAGTCATGTACTCACTCCCCCACGCCCGTTTTATTATCTTTATCAGATCCATCACCTTACCGCTGCCGTTCACTTCTGCCCGGAACTCCGACGTCGGCGACTCCACTTTTATCCGCAACTTCTTCTCCCCCGCCATTATGAGCGTATGCCGGCGCCCGGCGCCCGCTTTTTCTGATTCTTTCTTTTGATATTGGAATAGGTTGTGACTTTTTGTGTGGAGGATATGTGATGATGAATTAACGAGGACAGATGACAGCTAGCAAGATGTGTACATGATTTTAAATTAAATAATTGATGGAGCCCATATTACTTTGACATGGGATTGTGGAAGAGGATGAGTTTCACTTGGTCAAAGTCCAATATTTAATTGAGAGAAGATATATTTCCATACCTTGGAAGAATGCATTTATGTATGCATAATAAGCCTACCAAACTCGTCCTAAGCTTGAATTTTGATGGTTAAACAAATCATAAATTCATTTATGTAGACCATGTTGACAAATCTTTCACATCAATGGGTCTTTTACGTACTATTATCTGTTCCATAAAAGTTTCAATAGTTTGACATTCACGTTTACTAACACGTAACTTTGACTGTAATTATATTTATTTACGTATTAATAAACATTAAAAAAGTTAATATATTGAAAATTTACATTAACACAAATTTATTAATATTTTATACATAATATTTTTATATATATTATTAGAAAATCGTAGTCAAAGTAAGGTGTGTGAATAGTGCAAAAATCCTAATGTTATCACTTTTATGAAACGGAGGAAGTATATGAGTGGTTAAAACTGTTTCTGCTCTTTTGGAGACCGAAAACAAATATTATTGTGTTTGATTGGAAGTGTAGAAGTGTTTATGAAAACTCTCAAATGCTCTTAGAAGCAGTTTTTTAGAAGCTGAAGATTACCATCTTCTCAAAATTGATTCTGATTTTATTTCTACTTTAAAAAAACAGAGTAAGAATCAATTCCTAACACCTCTATATCTATATTATACTCCGTACGTAATAAAAACTGATCAGACATACGAAAGACCTGATGATGCCTTTCTAGATGAATGAAAATGGCGATTTCTCTAAATGTGAATACTACTACGCGTAAGTATATACTACCTCCATCCCAATTTACTTAGCCATCTTTGATTTTTCCAGTCAAAAGTGGTAAACTTTGATCAATTATTTAAACTAATATATTTATGCAAAATTTAATAAATTTATACTTTTATGATAGTATTTTTAACAAAGAACATTTTAATATCATTTTCATATTATTAATATTTTCTCTATATAAACATATAATCGGTCAATGTTAGATGTCATTGACTTCAAAAGTCAAGTTTGGCTAACTAACATGGTAACTAGGAAGTATATTTTTTGAAATTGGAGTAATATGAGACACCATAATATCATACTCCGTATTATGACCGTTGATGACATAAAACGTCATCAATAAATTAAGATAACTGTAATAAATTATCCCTACTTCGGAAAACAAGATACTTACGATTTAAGAGATTATTTTACGTTCACTCCTCAATTCCTTTACATATTACGCTCCAAACGGAAAAACACACAACAAGATATGAGTGTCACCAGGGGCGGATGGTAGCCTGGTCAGGGGTGGGCTTCAGCCCAGCCCATTTTTTTTTAATAGTATTGGTATATTTTTAATTCTCAGCCCACCCTAAATTTAATTGTCAGCCCATCCCACAAATAATTCCCAGCCCAGCCCAGAAAAAGCAGTCAACAACCCAGAACGCATCTTTACCCCTGAGGCCCTTATGGCTTACGCCAACTTGCGGTCGAAGGGACGAACAGAACGGGGACGACGCGACGGAACTCGGAAGACTGAAGTGCTCTGCAGCCCGCAGGGACTGCAGTAGGCAGTCCGCACTGAAACAGTGAACCTGCCACCGGTGCTGCCGTGCCGGAGATGTGAACAACAGCGACGCGTCGAGGCCGCCTCTTCCTCTGCCTCCCTCTCTCGAGTCTCGATTGATCAGCAACGAGCAGTCCAGACCATGTAAATCCTCTTGGACTCTTGGTGACTTGATGTAAATGGTGTTGAATTTTGATTTGTGAATGAGTGAAGTTATGAACTGCTGCTGTGAATCTGTGAACTTTGAATGAGTGAATCTGTGAATTGTGCATTTTAGGGTGAACAATACTAGTAATTTTAGAGTGAATATGTGAATTGTGCATTTTAGAGTGAATGAGTGAATCTGTTATCTGTGAATTGTGCATTTTAGAGTTTTAGGGCTACTAGGCTAGGGAATCATACAAGATTTAGTTAAATAGTTCCTTATTAGTTATATTTTTTATATAAGTTTTTTAATTTATACCAATATTGAAAATGTTTTTTTAGAAAGGATAATGAACATGTTGCCAAGAAGGGAAAGAAGTTGATTTCATCATTCTTTTCAAAAGTGAATCGTCAAACCGGTGAAGGAAGTTCTGAACATATACCTACGATAGTGCAAGATCTAGTCAATGAGGTTCCTTCACATGTCATAGTCCTTGAAATCCAATCTATCTCCAATTTTGAGTTGCCTTCATCTTTTTCCATTGAGAGGGATCCGGGAAAAAGAAAACAAATTCATGAATACCATGTTAATGTGCGAGATGAAGTTAGACGTGCATATCTAAATGTTGGGCCTTATCAACCGAGAATGGAAGCTTATCCAGTGAAAAAGTTTGGAGCTCAAAACCGAAGTTTTCAGAAACACTGGTTTGACAAGTTTAATTGGTTAGAGTACTCACCTGTGACTGATAAAGCTTACTATTTTTTCTGCTTCCTTTTCTTGAGTGACATTCATATGCATACTACTTCTGCATTAGTTAACGAAGGATTTCAAAGTTGGAAGAGGGTAAATCAAGGAAGTCAATGTGCATTTCTTCAACACTTTGGTATTTCAGAAAAATCACCTCATATGATGTGTGTTCAAAGAGCTGAAAATTTGAGGCAACCATCTGGCCATATTAAGAATGTTTTTCATGCCCAACCGCAACAAGAAAAGGAGAAAAATCGTTTGCGATTGAGAACTTCTATATAATTGTTCGATGGTTGGCACTTCAAGGTTGTGCCTTTAGAGGTCATGATGAATCTGTAACATCATCAAATCGGGGAAATTTTATTGAACTAGTGAAAGCTTTTGCGACTATGAATACCAAAGTTCATGAAGTTGTACTTGAGAATGCTCCTAAAAATGCTCAGTACATTGCTCCCGACATTCAAAAAGAGATCTTGAATATAATGGAAAATAGAGTTCGTCAAATGGTTCGTGAAGAAATTGCAAATAGTTGTTTCTGCATTCTTGTTGATGAAGCACAAGATATATCTAAACAGGAGCAGATGGTGATTATTATACGGTTTGTGAACAGCAGGGGAATTCTTACAGAGCGGTTTTTTGCCATCAGAAGTGTTAGTGACAATGTAGCAAGTACCTTGAAAGGTAAAATATGTGATGTGCTTGGTAATCATGACCTCCAACTTTCAAAAATGAGAGGCCAAGGTTATGATGGTGGGAGTAATATACGAGGTTCATTTAATGGCCTTCAGGCATTATTTCGTAGAGATTTTCCTTATGCATACTACATTCATCGTTTTGCACATCGCTTACAACTTGCGCTGATTTTTGCGGCTAAGGATGTTAGCTTAATTTGGGAATTCTTCTCTCATTTGGATAATATTGTTAATATTATCACTTCTTCACCAAAGCGGGTATCGGAGTTGCACGTGTCTCAAAGAAGTGAAATTGAGAAGTTATTAGCAACCGGGGAACGCGAGTTGGGACGTGGTGCAAATCAAGTTGGTAATTTGCAACGATCCGGATCTACTCGTTGGGGTTCTCACTCTAGCTCCGTGAAGAGTTTGATAAACATGTATGCCGCAACTTGCAAAGTGTTTGAACATTTGGTTGAGAACTCTCCAAATGGAAGATCTAAAGCTGAAGTTCTTGGGACCTATAGAAAAATGGCAAGCTTTGAATTTGTGTTTGTCTTACACTTGATGCATAAACTTCTGAGAATAACTGATGCTCTTTGACAGGTTCTTCAAAAAAAAAACTCTTGATATTTTGAGTGCTATTACATTCGTTGGTACTACTACAACTATCCTTGCAGAGTTAAGAGCATCTGGTTGGGAAGAATTTCTTAAAGAAGTGAAGAGTTTTTGCTCTTCAAATGATATTGATGTTCCAAATTTGGGTGATCCATATAAGATTGGGCGTTCCCGTTTCCAACCAACAATAGAACATCATTATCATTTTGATGTCTTCAATGAAGCGATTGATTTTACTTTGACTGAGTTAGGCACGTGCTTTAATGATACATCCATGGAACTTCTTCAACTTAGTCTTGCTTTGGATCCCAAGAACTCCTTCAGCTCATTTAACAGTGAGGATATCTGTAAACTTGCAAAAACGTTTTATCCTGCAGATTTCACTGATCAAGACATTGTCTCACTTGAGTATGAGTTGATTCACTACAAGCATGATATTGTTTCAACATCTGAAGCGTCCACACTTGTTGAGTTATGTCAACATTTGACGGAGAGTGGGAAATCAGAAATCTATGTTATGTTGACGAGACTAATTCGTCTAGTTTTGACCCTACCTGTTTCTACTGCTACTACGGAAAGAGCATTTTCAGCAATGAAGCATGTGAAGACGGCACTTCATAACAAAATGGGAGACGATTTTCTTGAAGATTCATTGATGATCTACATTGAACGAGACTTTGTCAATAATATAGATATAGATTCTATTATTGATGAATTTTATACTTTGAAGTCGCGTAGGGCACAATTTAAATGATGTTTTAATGAATTTGTAAGTGTTGACGACTTGACTTATTATTATATATGTGTATTTCAATTTTTTTTCCAACCCACTCCATTGTGACTTTCTGGATCCGCCCCTGTTTACATGTATATATATCATCACTGCAGTCTGCCCGAGTATAATACATTTATACAAAGATGAATGCTTGGATACATTTGTCTTACAATCAGTCTAAACTCTAAAGTTGCATATCTCTGTCTAGTACAAAGTATCTTTTGTTATATCTGAATGAATAATTGAATATAATTGATACAAAATCTTTAATATTTTAGCGCATCTTTTGAATAACATTTCCGCCGCAGATACCAACAATTTTTCTACTCGAGATTTACAGACGTAGCTTATTGTGCTTCACATCGAATAGACAACATGTCATGAACGCGACGTAGCTGATT